GCCGTCACTGGGATTTGAACTCTAGACCTGCCACTTGGAGGTTGACAACCTATCCACTTCACTAGGTCACCACACCCCATTTTTTTTAATTACTATTATAGTTTCAAATAATAATATAATATAACTACCTAAAATATTCAAAATTTTTAGAAAACCATTGATCACATGCCAGAAATAGAGGAAGAAAATAGTGGAACATTCTATCATTAGGGGACCAAACCTGTAAGCATTGGTAAATATAAGTATAAAATCCACGATAATAGTGTAAAGCTAAGACAATTTCTCAGTACAGATTCTGTAGATAAAATAGAATCTATACTTAGTAAACAGCAAGAATGTTCATTATATGAATTCATTGATAGCAATGATCCATTTCACTCTATTATCAATTTTGATTTATCTAGAGAAAAATTTGATAAAATCAAACTCAAGCTTACATCTAAAAAAATAAAAAATATATTTTATAATGCTTTTACAAAACTTGTTTGAATATATTTTCAGAATAGGACAAGACTACTATCACTATTGCCAGTAGTAGTGATTCAAAAAAAATGTCTTATCATATCTCAATATTTGAAATGCATCTTAAGAATATTGTCAAAATTGTAGTATTTATCAAATTCATTTATAAAAAACTTCTAGTGAGTTTACAAGACAAAGAAATTGTTGACAATATCGCAAATAAAAGATCATTTTCATTATAAATATTTGGAATATCAAAATTTATTAAAGAGATAAGAGAACACATATGTGTAAAGAAAGTATTAGGTTTCAAAAAGAGGAATGTTTTTGATTTTATACTTTGTTCTTCTAATGATGAAGCACTAGTTATAGATAGTTCGATCTTAGAAATCTCAAAAGAAATAGTAAAAAATAGTAAAGCAGATAATAGAACCATTGGAGCTGAAGTTGATTATGTAGAGAAACTACTTAATATAATGAATATCAAAGATTTTGATGTTTTATACCCAACTCCTGTATCTCCAGATATTCACTTTAAGATGTATAACAGGATCACATTGCCCTCTATATAATCAAGAACATAGCAATGATAATGCATATATAGTCCAAAACAGAAAAACCTATTGTTACTATTGTTATTGTACAAATCAAGATATGCCTAAAGATATAAAAAAACCTTCATTAAAACTTATCATCAATGAGAATGTTAAAAATCAGAAAAAAACTTTACTACCACTTCAAAAAATTGATATATGCACATTAGGAGAAATATATATTTATAATTAAGTTTATAAAGCAATACAAGCAACTATTGCATATATCCAAACAACTTCAAAATTATGGATACTTAAAATAGAAGATTTAGATAATAGTTTTTATTATAATATGGCACCTAAGCTAGATTTTGCCAAGTATGAAATCAAAATGATAGAATATGAAGGTAAAACAATAAAGTTAAAAACATTAATAAACTAAACAGTTATTAAAAATTTAATTCTTTATTATAATATTGATTTCCTACCATACCTCCCAAATACTTCTTCAATAAATACTAAGTTCTTTAATCTTTTTCTAGGATTTAAAACCCAACTAATAATTGAAATTAATTCAGCTATTATTGATCCAATTCTATGATATGTAAAAAATATAATCTCTAATAGGAATGAAGAGTTTAGTAAATATTTCTGATACTGATGCACATATCTAGTACAATAATTATCTAAAAAACTTAGAACAATTTAAATATTGCATTCCTTACCAGATTGTAGAAAAAATATCTTAATTGATTTTATAGATAAGAAAGTTCTCAGATCAGAGCTTTTCTATGCAACATCTGATCTTAGGAAAATATTAGAGCATTTTAATAGTTGCATTCAGGCTTGTAAACTAATTGTTATAAATGAAACAACTATGTTTAGTGGAGATTAAAATAAGTATAATGATCATCTTAAATTACTTATCACAGAAGATTATTTAACAGTTGAATACAAAAGTATTGAATCAAAAGTCATAAAAGATTATGCTGGATTTATGGTATTAAGTAATCATAATGCTCTACTCTGAATAAAAATTGGTAATCAGTATATTGTATGTTTTGATATATCTTTTTATTATAAAAATAATACAGCATATTTTAAAAATTTGGCCAAAGTACTCAAGCATCCTGATATACCAAATATAGTTATGGCTTATTTACTCAGTCTTAATATCTCAGATTGGAATCCACAAGATATTCCTACTACTAAAATGAAAACAGATATAATGTTGAAACATTTACTAAACCCAAACTGATTTATAATCGATCATATTTTATCTTGGCCTAAAAATAGAACTGAGAATTCAATATATTTAAATTTATATTAGGAATATCATATTTGGTATAAAAGAAATAATAAAATCTATTTACTAACAAAAAATTTGGAAAAACTTTTTCAACAATTGGTATAGAATGCAAGCAAGCATGAATCAAAAGAAAAAGAGACTAGGTCTATATTCTTAATCAATCCAAAATCATAAGTAAACTACATGAATCAGGTATTGATATTAAAGAATTTTTTATATACCTGAAATTGTTACATCTTCTGAACCAGAAAAAAAGATAACAGAACCATTAACTACTAATCATATCAAAAAAAATAAAGAGAAGCAAAGCTTTGATGTTTCACATTATATATTACTTGCTTCTATTACTAACACAATCCAAGACCTTTTTGATTCTATATCAAATGAAAGTTTAGTTGCTTCATCATCTAAGTCTACTGATATATCTATGACTCTAGAGATCAAACATATAGAACTATCAGATGATAAATCTAAATCTTCTGAAATCTCTCTTGACTTATCTGTAAACAATACTGTAAACAATAAACTAAAAACCAGTAACAAAGTATCTTCCCAGCAGATATTATACCTACTTAGATATCAAACCAGAGAGCAACAAGAAATATAATTAAGGCAAAAAGCTAATAAGCTTGACGAGGATCCAGATAAGTTTGTTACTATTACTAAAAAAGATAAGCTCAATTCTATAGCATTTTGTAATAGAATGCAAACTAATATAAGAATATGTAATTATGCAAAGGAGGCTAAAGAAAACTTCAAAGAATATATGAACAAGACAGTATAAGAAAGATTAATAAGTGAAGAAATAATTTGACATTCTCTCAAGAAAGATGGAATCACCTCATCATGGCTCGATACTAATGAGAAATGGAAAAAAACAGTAAGCATACTCTAGGAAAATAATATGTTATAGAAATTGCTTAGTTAATAAGAAATAAATAAGATGAGTTTTGTAGATCCAGAAAGGTTATTTCTTTTCAATAGGTAGGATTCTCGATATAGAAAGAATTTTTTGATCTTACAACTAAATGATATAAAAATTCAAATCAAAAAAATATTGTAAAATACTTGTAAAGGGGATTTTTGTATTACTTAAAATTGCTTATATATATGAATTTGGAGGCAAGGATATACTAGTTCTTGTGCCTAATTCGATATTCGTAAGAGTAAATTCTTCTAGCAATTTGCACAATAGTCAGTATAAGATGAGATAGGTTTCTTACATATTTTACATAACTTTTTTGAAGCTTTTTTTTACCTGTATCTGCCAATGCAGACTATATTCAGAAAGCCAAGTGCAAATTTTTTCACAAAATGTACTATCCCTCTTAACATATTGGCAAGTAATACATTTCATTCAGAATATTTTAGGATATAATATACATAAACCCTTTCACTTTTAATATCAATTATATAAAAAATCAATTTAAAGTTTCAACATGATTATTTAGTATTCTAGAATATATTTATTCTTTTGTAATATATATCACATTAAAAAATGAAGGACCAAGATTTTAACATCTCAGAAAAAGTTTTCAACTTATTCATAGATCATTGGATCAAAAAGAATAGAAAGTTATTCCAAAAATTGTTACGTGAAGGTTATAAATATACTAAAGACCTTTTATATTATTTAGATAATGTTCCACTAATAGATCTAGATGAATATAATACAATCTATCCCTTAGCTAACTTCTTTTATTCTGCTTTGATCTTGTCTCTTTCTACTTTAGTGAAAATGAGAGATATATGTAAAAGATACCCTATTTCTGTAGGTACTATCATGGAAAGAAGAATGTGTCTATTTGCTATAGAAAAAAATAGATGAACTGCATTATATAATCAGATTCAGATAAGATATCCTAGATATAACTTATCTCAATTATTAAAAATATATTGAAATTATAGAGAAACTCAGAAATGAAGAAATAATATACTTGCAAGATTTTTCTATTACCCAAATTTAACTTTATCAAAATATAACCTAAATGTTTTGTATGATGCATTTAGTAAAGCAGATGCTCTAGGTTCAGAACACTGTAATAAAAAATAAAAATGAATCATAAACCTTAATATAGCCTGAGTTACCACATAATTTTTTTTCATTATATCCTATATATTAGTAAATTTCAAATTGACATCCTAGTCTTGCTTATGCAAGTACATAACCTCTTTTTTCTGAATATAGAAGAAAAAAGCATAATTAATTTCAAATTGAAAAAAATAAGTAGATTAATATATAATTACATTCTACTTATTGATATAGATTATTTACATATCTATCATGACAACTGTCTGAAAAACTAGAAAATCAAAAACTAATAGCTTTACCTCTATTTTGGATCAGGTCCTCAATAAATATAATCTATTAGCTAAATTAAATCCACTTTAATTATGTGCTCATGCTGATGAGCTTAGTACTATGCTATCAGATTAGAAGGCTTGTAAAGATGTAAAAGAGGCTTTTCATTAGTGCTTATTCAAAGAAAATCAAATAGGAGCTCTGATTCCAAACAACAAAAAGAAAAGACTTACTATCAAGAAAAGAGCTCAATATTGTGCAAAACTAAAAATATGTGGGATATTTGATTACATGATTTAGACTTAGCTGTGCCAAAAAATAATACAGATAAAACAATTGTGGCAGCCAGTTTTTGTGTTTTACAATTTCATAGAGAGTTAGCAGAAACTAAGGTTGGTTCTGAGCAAATTTATATATATGTCAAATTACTAGAAGTTACTTGAGCTTCTAATGAAATTCAAAAGAGGCAACTTGAACAGTGATTATCCAATTTATCTAAAACTCTCAAACACTTTTCCTTAGAGGAAAGACTTAGAAGAATTCAAAATATCAATACTACTAAAATCCCTACTATGTAAGATCTTGCAGATATAATTATTATGTTGAGTATGAGACCCACTGAAGTTGTCACTCTTCATATTATTCATTATAAACCTGGTGAATCAAATTTTCTTAAATAGTACAAGTCTGGTTATTCTTAGTATTGTATCGGGTATATTAAAAATAAAGGAGAAGCAAAAAATAATCTTGAATCTTGGCAATTTCTATCTATGAAAAAGAATCCAGAACATGCAAAAGAATTGCTTATCTGGATCCAAGTTGCAATAGCAACTAGAAAGTTATGCAATCTTATCTATAGTATTAATAGAAAACACAGTACAGAAGTATTTAGTAAAATTTTAAAATCATATAATATTACAGCCAAAAGATTAAGAAAAATTAGAAATAAACATGTTTTTAGAGTTTATGATAGTCAAAATTCAACTTCACATCATCTTGAATTCCTTAGCAGAGTTGCAATAAGGCATAAGATAAATCATCATAATTCTGAAATATATTATGCTGAAAGTAATACTTCTGATTCTGACCTTGACTTAGATCCAGAACCTGAATCTGAAGTCCTAGCACCTACATTCAAGGCAATTAATGAGAATACTTCTGAAATTGTGGATATCTATGACTTATATGAGAGTATTTAGATTAGTTCATAACTTATTTATTTATTTACTATAATCCAGCTTTATTGCTTTGGATTTGTTTTATAATAATTAGACTTATTAAATATTTTTTAAGTAAAGTTATATATTCAAATCAACTCACTAACTGCACTTACTTATAAGCTAAAAATTGTCTGCAACTGCCATCAAAGATTTAGTGATCCTGGCTCATACTTATTAAATAAAAAGTTTTAGTTAATAAAATCAAAATATAAACATGTCTAATATTCAAAATATTTATAAAGAATGGACAAAAAATAATTATACCTGATACATGTTAACCAAATATAGTTTAAACTATATCAATAATTTTAAAACGCCAGAAGCTTGGTTACGATTTGTGAAGTATTATCTGCTCAAATATATATGTAGACATTTATTAATACTAGAATATGATATTATTAGTAAGGACCATTGAAAAAACTTTGTATTCCATATTAAAAATAATCTAACCAGAAATAAATTTATAGCTAATTACTCTAAATTTAAAGAATATAAAATTCAATTAACATATTTTGTAACTTTGTATAAAAAAATCATACATCATTAATTATCTAGAAGATATATCGTTTATAGAAAAAATGAATAAATTCAGCTAAAATAATCCAGCATACAGTAATTAAATAGTTTTATAGACCTGATGGAATATTTATAAAACATACTCAAGAACAGTATTATTAAAATGCTAATAAACTTAAAAATTTGAGATAACTTGGAAAATTTTTAATATAGATAGAAAAGTATCAATATGAAAAAAAATCTGTGAAGTGTATGCTCCTTTTTCTTCATAATTGCTATTAAGATCTAGCAATGATCCTTTGGATTGAGTCTTATTATAAAAAACATGCCTAACTCTCCTAGCTTATACTAATTAATTCATAAATGAACAGATCACCAAATCTGAAATAAGATTTCATAAAATTTACAAATTGGTTTGTTAATACAGAAATATATTATCCCTTAATCTATAAGCTTTTCCAGGCAAATTTGGCTAAAAAATTGTTAAAAATATGCTTACGATTTATATTTTTAAATTTTAAAATATTTAAATAAAATTTTATTTGATAATATTTGAAAATAAGAATTATATTATAGCAGTATTTAATTTTATATTATAAAAAAAAAATTATATATTACTTATAAGCTAAAAATAGACAGATTTAGAAAAAAATTTTAATTAAAAAAATTATTTACAAATTTTTGGTGAACTCTTTAAATATTAATTTTAAGCCTATAGTTTTTAATACAATATTTTAGTTTATATAAAAGATAATAATTTTTATTAGTAAAACTTTTGCAATTTACTTATAAAATTTAGACTTGTACAAAATGTAAAAAATTTTTTAGCTTCAGAAATATATAAAATTTTAAAAAATCTTGAAAAATTTTTTAATAGTAAAAATTTTTAAATATAATCTTTAAAATTTTAATACATAAGAATAGTGATCCTAGTATAGTGATTGGGTTGTCATTCTCCTAGTAGCAGGTCTAAGGTTTAAATTTCACTTATAACGAAATTTGGAAATTAATCTGTGTTATGACAAACTGCCACTTGATGATCAGTTGAATTTGTGTATCTGTAACCTTAAGTTACACCATCTCGAATGGGAGCTCAGAGCATTTATGCCAAGTGTAATATTACATGTATATAGAGGAATGTTAATAACTAGTATTACATAAGACTTCAGTACAAACCCATGATAAGACCATCAGGTGCAATAAACTAAAAAACCAAAGAGTCAGAAACCCACTTGGAAATTCTCGAGTAAAGAGGTAGCATGAACTTTCAATAGTATGGTCAGACTGATGGAAGTCTATGAAACATCCCCAAAGAGATAGACGAATAAACTAAATGTTAAGTTGTGTAGAGAAGCATATGACCAACTAGGCCATCAGAATCATCGAAGGAAAAGGATACATAAGTATATCATACTGGGCTATCTGGATTGGAAGTCAGAGAAGTCCTGTTAGTCCTGAGTAGCAGTTAGTAAAGGATAATGAAGAAGATATCATGATGATAGGTACTGAGGTTCTAGTGAACTTTACAAGGGTAGAAATAATGTAATATAGCAGTTAAACAGGTAACTTCTGTGACTGCAAATGTTAGGTAATTATAGTGTATTGCATAAAACTAGATCAGCTGTATGTGGGACATGAAAGGTTCTAGTAAGTTTCCTGTTGAAGATAAACTAGTCCTAAGGGTACTTGAAGACATCAGGTACTTTGGATGAGTGTAGCCTTGAAGATGTTCTCATGAAACATAGTGGACTATATATGCAGAAGGTTTAAATAAGCAAGACCTGTAGTTGGCTTGCAGGTATGGCACCTAGTGTAGAACCTGTATAGTAATATATAGGCAGACTACTTCAATTAGACACCAAAAGTACATGTGTAACTAGTTGTAACCTTCAATATAAAGGAGCCCCTAAAGGCATCCATGTCCAAATACATGAATAAAAACATCAATTCTCATAGACAGGGACTTTAACTCAAAAAAAAAAAATTTTAATATATAAAAGTTTATTAATATTTTAAAAAAAGTTTTATAATAAAGTTTATAAAATATGTTTTTAAGAATATATTTCATAAGCAAAATATATCCTATATTATTAATAAATTATTATTTATTTAAAAAATACTAAATATAATTTAATTTTTTAGACAAATTTGTCTAAAATACAGTTTAAGAAATAATGCTAAATGGGCTGTTTAAAAATTCTGTTTAGCAAAAATACAATTTCTATCCTTCTTGAAGTTTTTGAAGAACAGTATATATAATACTAACAGAAATATGTTATTAGATATGTTGCAGCAAAAATTAAAGTTAAAAAGAAGTTATTAATCTTTTTAGAAGAATGCTGTTTGATCTGTTTATTTTGATAAAAAAAATCACAAAAATAATTATAAAACTGATTTAAACCTTTTACATATTTATTTTTTAATTTATTGTATTTTGTGAAATAAAATACCTTTTTAAAGAATCAGGATACATATAATGTTACTTATACCAATATGCATAATTTTGAAATATTTTTTATTATAATAAAATTATATAAAGCAATAAGTAAATTTTTTTTTTTTAATATTAAGATAAGTACATGTAATCCAGAATTTTATTGGTAATATCAGTTAACTAGCATCTGTTGATATAACAGTACAGAGGCGATCATAGAAAGAATGTACAACTAGCCACTTATACAACTTTAGTTATTGTTTAATTTAAATAGTCCACTTAAAGGTTCTACACTAGTTGCTATATCTAGGACCTGCCTGTAGGATCTTTATTTAAATACTCTGATCCTGTATTTACTACATCTTATCAATGACTCCAGTAACCTAGTAAAAATATACTATAGTTACTAAGTTATGTTTAACTTTGTACTAAACCTACTAGTGTGTTCTGTAACACATATTTACAGCTCATTTAGTATCACTTTGGCCTAAACCATTACTTGCAGTTAGGTCTAACTATTAAACTGCTTGTATGCTTGTAAGGTTTATCCAAAATTCTGATATACATCTTTCTGACATTCTCTTTATTGTCACCTACTAACTGCTACTTAGAACTAACAAGACTCTTTAGACTACCAATTTAGATGGCCTGATATAGTATACTTTAATATCCTTTTCCTCTGGTAATTCTAGCAGCCTAGTTGGTTATATACTTTTCTACATATTTTGCTATCCAGTTTATCTGCCTATTTCTTTGGGAATGTTTTATAGGCTTTTATCAGTCTGATAGTATTGTTAAAAGTTTTGTGCTACTTTCTTATTCAGGATTTTCAAGTAGGTTTCTGACTCTTCAGTTTCTTTACTTTTTGTACCTAGTGGTTTTATCATGGGTTTGCACTGAAGTCTTATACAACACTAGTTATACATTTATCTATGTGTATGTATAATGTTACATTTAGCATAAATGCTCCAAGCTCTCATTCGAGATAGTGCAACTAAAGGTTATAGATACACTAATTTATCTGATTGACAGAAACAGTTATTATAATAGACTTATTTTTCAAAATTCGTTATCTATAAGATTTGAACTCTAGATCTGCCACTTGGGAGTTAACAACCTGACTACTTTACTAGATCATCACACCTCTGTATTTTTAATTACAGTATATATCATATATAATTAATATTAATATTTTTTTATATTACTGAGTATTTACTTTACAAAATACAGTAATACATAGTAATTATTTATTTTATTTAGTTTATTTTATTCTAAATATATTGATATTTTATATATTTTATATATAGAAAATGTCTTACTGTACAAAGGCATTTAGATATCTTCATTCAAAAAAAGATTCTTATGTTACATTTTATGATTTAGCTAAAATAAAAAAGGTTTTAAGAATTAATAAAGTATATTTATCAGAATTTTTTGTTAATAAATTAAATGATAAAGAAAAAAATATGTTAATATTTATGAATTGTCATAAAAATCAGAAGAGGTAAAATTCTTTAATCATCTAAAAATATTTTTATTTACTCACATAATGCAAATTGTAAAGCATATATATTTAAATTTTATTGTAATACTCAAATTTATATTATTAATTAAAGCAATTTTTTTATTTTATTATAGTTATATAAATTACTTCATAATATTTTTGACATTACTATAGCATCTGTTTATATAATATAACAATAATAATGTAAACCTTTTGTATTAAATATATTACTATTTAAAAGTATTTTCAGATAGGCAATAACTGAAAAACTTAATGAAAATAAAGAAGAGGATAAAAATAAAATAAAAAAAAAGAGAATAAAAAAGATGAAGAGAAAGAAAATGAAAAAAAGAAATAAATAAAAAAAAGATAAAAAAAAAGTTATTACTTTATCTATTAAACTATTTAGATCAAAAAGGCAAAAAAAATAAAAATAAATTACTTACAACTTTTGGTATCTATAACTTTAAAATAATTAATTAGAAATATTAACTTAAAATATTTAATTTTATTAGTTAAGATTAGGGTATTTAGAATTCTGTAATGCATAATTCTGCTCACTCTAAAAATATTTTTTTGTAGCCTCTATAAAATAAACTTTAGTTAT